TATTATTATTATTGTTATTATTTTAAACAAGTCATTCCAATTGTCAGATTTTGTCAATTTTATTCATTACTGCAAACTACATTTTGCTTCCTTTTTTAAGGATTTTGATACAATTGTTATTTTAAATAGTTTGGTACTGTAAATGATAATCATGTAAAGTTTAAGTGAAGAATTTTAATGAGCCCAATAAAATTTATTATTATTATTATTGTTATTATTATTATTATTATTATTATCATTATTATCATTATCATCATTATCATCATCATCATCATCATCATTATTATTATTATTATTATGATTACTATATTATTTTGACCTTTAAGATTGTCAAAGTTAATGAGAAAACAAAGGAATCTCCTAGCTAGCTCTTCATTTGCTTGCCAATGGCTCCTTGTGCTCCTTGTATGGGAGCCTTTGGAGTCCCTGTACTTTTCCTGCCATGTTCACTTAACCTTCAGGGATTGTCTGAAAAACCAAGTGCACTTTCCAAGGGCATTACATATAGAACCAATAGATAGCACTGTAATAGCAAATCAGGTTATAAGTTTGGCAATAGTCAATGCCTAAATGTGTGTCTTGCCACAACATTCTCTTTCATTTGTTACTTTTTACAACTCCAAATAAGTGAATATCAACCATGTCATTCTTTTTTTTTCTTATGTACTTTTTTTTTTAAACAAAGTTTGCCTTAATTAACATCAAAAACTAACCTAGAAGGGTCACTTCAAATATTGTCACCGACAGTGTCTGTGTTACTTAACATATGTTTTTGATACATTTTAGTGTGCTCTGGAGTTGATGAAGCATGCCAACTTCCTGTATACTTCTGAACTGGAAGGTGTGATGTCAACATGCTTTAAAGCCTTGGAGAGTTCAAACTATGATGTACGTGTATGTGTTGCTCAGCTTATTGGTACATTAATGGCTATGACACAACAGATTCCTTCAGCCACAGTGGCAGCTGGCAAGAATAAAAAGACTTGCAGTCTTGAAGAAGTTTTTTCTTACATGTCAGGAGGATTTCTTCGTGGAGGAATTGGATTCTTGAAGGGGAGTGGTGGAGAACTGCTCAAGAGCATAGCTCCACGTGAAGTGAGAGTAGGAGTTACACAGGTGCATAACTTATTATGAATTACAGTCAGGACTTTGCTTGTAACTGCAGGAAGTGCATTAGCATATTGGTGAGCTTGCTGAATTCTGTATTGAGTAGTGTGGGTTACAGTACTGAGGGACAGTTCATTATTTATGGGGATGACAGGGTCAGAAAATCAGAAACAACATTTTTCTTTTTTCCTAATGCCCATCGTAGAATCATATCAAAATTTCAAAGCCCATCTTGATTTGTTCTAGAATTTTTCAAAGCCTGCCTGGTCAATGGAAATATTATTAAAGCTGACATAAAATTGACACAATAATAATATGAAGTAGTTTTACATGTATGTATAATTGCAGCTTGTGTAGACTTGTGCAAATGAACAGTTTTCCATTTTTACAATTTTGGCTTTCAATGCAACAGTACATTATCTTCGAAAAATTATTTGGGTCAGAAACAGCTATCAAAAAGTACAAAATGTCCTGTTGGAGATCACTTTTATATAACACTCCTGATCAAATGATATAATCCATGAACCTAGAGAAGTCAAAGAAGTAAATGGAATTGATAAATATTCCTGGTTTGACGCAAAACTCAACAACAATAGTTACAAATCGTTTCACTATGGAGTGCCTCAACTTTACCAACAATATGCCATTTCCAACAAGCATGTGTAGTGTGATTGTTGCTAACTGTATTTTTCCTCTCTGCTAATACGATAAATAACTTGTAATGAGTATAACTTAATACTGACAGTGTTAAATTGTACCTTTTCATTCTTGTATTCTCCACATTGTTGTGCTCAACATGTATGTTCGGGCATAACATTTTTCAATGGTGAAAAATCATTTCAGAGTTGGGACGTTGTTTTGAGGCACATACTGAAACATAAAACAAAGAAACGAAACCCCCAAAATGGGTGAAACTCACAAAATCACCTGACAGAAACAGGTGAAACTGCCTTGTTATTTGATCACTCTGGTTTGCTCCCAGGCATCTAAAGTATCTGGGAACTCGTTTGGGCTACCTTGAAGATTATCCATGTTCTAAGCAAGCTACTAGCTCATAACATTTTGTGCAGTTAGCAGTTCAGGTTCAAAGTGTAAAGGTATCTAGATATGCTTCTTTTTGTACACAGTGTACATAATGCTGCTTAGGGTAGACAAATAGGCTTCACATTTTTTCAAGATAAAAATATATAATGGTAGTATGTTTGTCAGCCTTATAAGCTTGACTACATGAATTCAAAAAGTACAGTTCTAAGCCTCGTCACTTTGCAATAAAAGCCTGAAGCAGTGATACATGTACATGTACATGTACATGTAACTGCAGCATGTGTACATTTATCAGCATTACTTTGAAGTGGTCTTATGTTTCCGTAGAGAAGCACATATTATTTTTCAGAACCCGGTTGTTTGGATCTCCATGAATTTAGCAGCTTTTCGCTTCGGAACAAAAATGGTCACTTTTTTCCTGACCTGGTCATCCCCATAAATAATGAACCATCCCAAACCAGAGTCACTGTAATCTGTTCCTAGGGAAAACACTTCACTCTCACTTTGGATATTATTAACTGTCTGGGCAACCATACAAAATGCTGAGGGGTAACTTGTCTTGGACTACAGTGTAGAATCCCATTCAGGCTAGTAGCAATATTCCATGTATGTGGTAAAAGCTGGAGTTAAGCTGCAGAACATGTTCAGCCATCTGGGCCAGTGATCTTTTGGATTGGAACAGACTTACAATGTACATACCTCCTTTGTTTACTCAGTAAAGTAAATGATGAGTGGAAAAGATGTTGTTTAAAGTATAAAAATAATAGCAAAGATAAGTCTTCACTGAGTGAACTAGTCCATATCACTGATCATGCTTTCTGTAGAATTAAGGGACCACAAGTATTCCTACTTCCCTTGGGTGGATGCTAGTCTATCACAGGGTTATCCCTTGGCAGTAAATTCATCAGAAACAATCATAAACTGTCTTGCCCAAGATTAAGACTGAATGGCTATTACTCAAACTCAGGCTGCTTGACCTTTGTCCAGCATCCTGACCATCAGGCCACTAGATCTACAAAAAAATAAAAGTAATTAATATTCACTACAGCCACAACAAGGGAAAATTCATTCTTCTATGCCAAAGGAAAAAACTGTACAAGAATAATACTTGGAGTGGAAACAAATTATTTAAAACTGCTAGTTGCAATACATGTATTCTGTACAGTGTTTTTGATATTATACACTGTACTTAATGGTGGGATTTTACATTTGCCGTTAACATACTTTTGTTTGATTGGCAGGCTTATGTGATCTTTTTTACTGAGATGGGTGGAGTCTGGGTGCAGAGAAACATCAGCCTCATTTTGAAACATGTTCTTGAGCTTCTATCAAGCTCCAAGGCAACTCAGACTCATGTTGATGCTGTGTACTCCAGGCGTTGCATTTCATTTATTCTGCGTGCTGTGTTGGGAAGGCTTCTTGGTGAACCAGCTCAGCTAGATGCTGCAAAAGAACTGTGCAGCTTGCTGACTAACCAGATGAACATGGTCACTGATGCAGTGCATAGTGCAGCCGACAGCAGTAACTCAGCTGGTGTTATTCAGAGCATGGATGATGTGATTAGCACACAACATGTTCTTGTATGTGCTTTGCAAGAGCTGGGATGTTTAGTGCAAGGGCTTAGTACCACAGCAATGTCCCTCATTCAAGAGAATCTATTAGATCATGTGTTATCTGTTCTGCTTCATCCAGCACCTGCTGCTCAGTTATTAGCCGCCTGGTGTCTCAAATGTATCACAGTTGCTGTTCCATCACAAGCAACACCACTGATTGACAGGTGTATCAATCGCATCAGTTCTCTCAAGTCATCTGGTGAAGCTGTTGGTGGATATGCTCATACGTTGGCTGCTCTTGTTGGAGGAGTTCATCAGTGTCCACTTGGCATACCACATGCCAAAGGAAAGGTGATTGCATTCATCATTTGTAGATGACTCTAACAATAATATTACCTTACCTCTACCTGTATTAGAATTAAAGAAAACAATTGAAGAGCAGAATATATATCTGCCCTAAGTTGAATTTTAGGCCTTTTTTCTCTTCTCTGGCTCTGATTTGCCTAAATCTCGGTAAATTAACTACAAATTATATTTTAAACACTGACCTTGATTTTTTTCACCCATTTGCATGTTTTTGGAAGAACATCTGCCTGAGTCAAGATAGCTTTCTCTCAAGCAAAGATGATGGCATGCTATGCCAAATACAATACATAAAATGTAGCTTCTGTTTATATTGTTCAAAGTCAAAATCAAATAATTATGTCAGAATCTTAGCTGTCCTCTAGTAAGCCAAAGGAAAATAGGAAATTAAGTGGGAGTCTGGGAACCTGGTTGCTTACATCGGTTATTGTGACGTGAAACACGACATGTGAGTTGGAGCGAGTGCCAAAGGAAATACTATCGAACAGAAAAGAGATATGAAGCTCTTAAGTGCTCTTGGAAAATGCCCTGCATGCCTGCCTGGTGGTTGAGAGGTATCATAAAGCCTTGATAAACCCATAAGTCATCAGCACGTTTTAAAGAACCAAAATGTGCTTTCTGATGTTCAAACAAACTGATTTGAAGTCAGATCGATCCAGGCAACAAAGTCCAAGAGCAGTTCTTGTTGAAGCCAACAATTTCAGATTTTTGATGCACGGGCATCCTGACTATTTAGAGCTTTGCTTTCCAAGATGGATTGCTTGAACAAGTTTTATGATTTAATGACATGGGTTCAAATATTTAGTCCTGTGGTGTTCCCTTTCATTGATTCACACAGTTGTGTTCATTTTCAAGGCTGTGTTTAGTGTGGCAGATGAACTCCTGAAGACAGCTACTCAGAATCCCAGGCTTGCTTTACACAAAGCTAAAGCTGGCTGGATCCTGTTAGGAGCCTTAATGACATTAGGTAAGTGTATGATGAAAGTGTTGCAGTAAATCATCATTCACTGTACATATTATGTTTTCTTAAACTTTAGGCTAGACACACAACCCCACAAGCAAACCCGCAGCTTTAAACAAAATATTTGTGTTTAATTAAATAGGGGATTGTTGTTGTTGTTGTTGTTGTTGTTGTTGTTGTTGTTGTTCATATCACATCTATAACACATTATTTACAAGACCGAAGACATTTCTGTATTTCTATCATTATAGAAATATAGGAGGAATATGTGAGAGGAATATGAGAGGAAGCTTGCGAGAATGAAAAATGCTGTGGGAACATGAGCCATAAGTGAGTGTTTCCACAGCTTTTTTGAGTCCTCCCAAACTTTCATGCCTTGATTGTTTCTTTAACTTGATAGAAACATGGAGGAATTGTTTTCTATTTTTTTACATAATAATGCAAAAACAAAAACATAGGTACGCAATGCATGCAAGAGTTATTTTTTGTGAATTAAAAGCCCCCTGGATGTGGCAGCACTCAGTGGACTCTTCTTAACAGTTATGATAAGATAATCCCATAAGCTTGTTTGGTTATGATGGACAGCAAAAAAAGAGAACAATTTAAGAATTTGTTTTACCTTAGGAAATGTGATATCAAGCCTACTTTTATCAAAGTTTTTACCTGCAACAAAAACTAATTTCAAAACTCAGCAGTGTTCTCATTCATAACTAGCCGTCCATAATTTCTTTGGTTTTGACAGAGAAAACCACTTCAAGTGAGTGTCTCAGTATTGATTCCAAGAAATGTTTCAACGAGAAGACAGTACACATATTACTCCATGAATAGCACTACTTAATTTGACTTCCATTCACAAACTGAAAAAATTTGTGCAAACATAAATGGTTTGGACTTAATTCTTTTTTCTTGAACTGCAAGTGATGCAAATGATATCGATGCGAACCTGGTGAATACCATCATGGACGAAAGCCCAGTCACCATCACAATAGTGCATTTTGCACTTCATTTCATTGAAAATTTCATTTAATGCAAAAAACAAGACTTAATGAGGTGAGAGTAGTTTGTTTACTATTCTTGTTTCATTTTTGAGTTTTCAGCCAAATTTTCATTGTTTTCAGCTTGGAGAGTTAATCAAAAAGGAAATAAAATTGTAATAATTAAAAACTTTAAGATTGTTTCTCTCTAAAGTAGGGGCCTCATCCAGACCTTTAAATGGCAATTTTTCAAATGCTTTGATTAAACTTTGAAGTACTTTGACATGTCTCAGTCAGCCCAGAATTAATGTTATAGTTGAGTGACACGTGCAATATAATTTTATACCCCTGCTGTAGAGGAAGACCAAAAAAGCCAAAGATATTCTCCTAGAATGGAAGTGGAAAGATGTCATCTTTATTATACGTTTTAGGTACTGTACTTACCTTGAAGCATTGTGCTTTTATTCACTCTGGCAGGACCATCAGTTGTCAGACATCATTTGCCACAGATGCTTGCCTTGTGGACAAATGCATTTCCTAAAACAGTGAAGGAGTTTGAACAGGAGAAGAGCAGAGGTGATGCATACACTTGGCATGTGACACTGGAATGCCGTGCTGGAGCTTTGTGCTGTAAGTAGTTGTATATCTTATGAATACATATAAGGTATTAGTACCTATTGTCAGACAATAGCTATTCTCAGACAGCTGAGGAAAAAACTCCAAAGTTTGGAAGAAAACCTCATCAAGCCAAATCCAGCTTATTCCTTCGATAGCAGCTCTTGTCTTGAGTCTAGCGATCAATTTTTTATCCAGATCTGTTTATGGTTTCCTAAGGCAAGAGCTCGCTATTTGTATTTTATGAAGAAAATGGTGACTTTGAAAGTGTACACGAGAAAATTATTACTGCACTGAAAATCTTGAAAAAACGACTCAAACTTGAGAGTGAAACCTTTGATCTTCAATGATCTGAAAACCAGTCACCATTGTTGTATCTCATGAGCCTTCTGAGCTTATGTTTTGACTGTTAAGTGCTGTAAATTGCTTAAAGGTTACTGTTTACATTCAGAGGTGTCTCATGTCTAAGCAATGTAGAGCATCAAGTTTAAACTGTAGATACCTAAACCCCTATATCAAATTAAAGCTTATAGAGCTGGCTATCAAACTATACCAAGACGTTTGATATAAAATTATTTGTCTAGTTTTCCATGACCACTAAATGTGAATGCCTGAATCACCTTTTGAAAGCTACAGGTCAAAGTGAATTTGTTTTCACCTATTTAGTTTTTTCCTCGGTTTCAGGTACTAAATGCTAAAAACATGTGTCTGTGTTTTGCCATATTCAGTTGCAGTAAAAAGTTACAGAGCATCTTCAAAATAGGATTTAAAAAATGTGGAGTGACGATACAAAAATTGCTCTCTGAGAAAAAATATTTCAAAATAGAGAATTTGCAGACACGTGTTTGTTGTTTATATGTTAAACTAGCTACTGTCCAAATTTGAGGGCAATCAAACAAATTCCCTTGAGTTATAACTCTTTTAAGTTTTCCTTCAAGCAAAAAAATTTATTGGAGAAAACAGTGCTAAGCAAAATCTCTTGCTTCACAAACAACTCCGCCCACAAACACCTTCAACTGGGTTCTCAGATAACTGTGCAAATAAGCACTTGGAAAGTTTACTACTGTTAACCTATTAATATATAGATTTAGGCCAGCCTAAAAGTGGAGCTTCTCAGTTATTTTTCGGAATATTGTTACTAATGAAAATAATCCAACATGTACCCGGTATGTGAGGTAAGTTGCGAATGATTTAATAGTTTCAGCCGGAACTAGGATTACATCAGCAGATCGATGTGTAAGATGGTGTGATTATGAAATATAGAGCCATGATTTCAAGGATTTCTGGGAAGCCACCAAAAATCTTGATCACATAACAGAACTGTCTTCTGTGC